CCACCTTATTTTGTTCTTTTTTCTCTTTTTCATTTTTTTCAATTTAGGTTGCCCTTTCGTGTTTTCACCCTAAACGTTTTTCACTTTTTGTTCTTTTTTATTTTTTCTTTCTCCAACTTAGGACGCCCTTTTGGGTTTTCATCCTAAGAGAAGTATTTCTTGATTGCATCCGAATTGATGGGATGTGGCAGTTCGGGCTCGTCCATTTCACCCAGGACAAGGGCTCCTCCGGAGAAGGCCTTTTTCACGACATAAGGTCTCTCCCAATTTGGCGTCTATTTTCCTCGGAAATCTTTCTGAACTGGCAAAATTCTTTTCAGCACCAGATCTCCTTCATGTAATATTCTCGGGCGTACCTTCTTGTCATGTGCTCGAATCATTCGTTTATGATAGATTTGACCATGGTGAACGACTTTCAGTCTCTTTTCATCTATCAGATTAAGCTGATCATATCTGGATTGCACCCATTCTGCGTCATCCAATTTAATTTCTATCAAGACCCATAATGATAGAATTTCTACTTCAATGGGCAGCACTGCTTTCATTCTGTAGGCTAATGAAAACAGGGTTGCCCCAGTCGAGATTCGTACCGAGGTTCGGTAAGCGAACAAAGCGAAAGACAACTTCTCATGCCAGTCCTTGTAGGTCTCGGTCGTTTTCTCCACTATCTTTTTAATGTTTTTGTTTGCTGCTTCTACCGCGCCATTCATCTTTGGTCTGTAAGTAGTAGAATTATGATGCTTTTATGTTGAATTGCTCACAAGCAGCCTTCATCATTTTATTGTTCAAGTTTGTAGCATTATCGGTAATGATCCTTTCAGGTAAACTATACCGACATATGATCTCTTTCTTCAAAAACTTACAAATAACAGATTGAGTGACATTGACATAAGAAGCAGCCACTACCCACTTAGTGAAATAATCGATAGCTACAAGGATGAAATGATGACCATTCGAAGCATTCGGATGGATTTGCCCAATAACATCCATGCCCCACATAGAGAAAGACCATGGTGACATCATGACATGAAGCGGATGAGGTGGAACATTTATTTTATCTTCGTAAATCTGAGATTTATGACATTTTCTAGCGTAGTTGATGCAATCACTTTCCAGTGTGGACCAGAAATATCCGCATCTCATTATCTGTCTCGACATCATTTGTCCATTTGTATGTACTCCACAAACTCCATCATGTACTTCTTCCATTATCATTTTTGCCTCTTCAGCATCGATGCACCTTAACAGAACTTGGTTATGGCTTTTCATGTACAAGATCTCTCTATCAAGGACGTATCCAGCTGCCATCCTTCTAATGGTTCTTTTATCGATCTCAGTGGTTTCCTCTGGATAACTTCGATGCCTGATATACTGTAAAATGTCGTAGTACCAAGGCTTGGTGTCTTTCACTTCTTCAATCTCGTAGCAATGAGTCGGGTACTCATACGACTGCATGTCAATTGGCATCATTTCAGATTCCCCGCCAACTTTGAATGTGACTGCCAAGGTAGCCAAAGCGTCAGCCATTTGATTTTCTTCTCTTTGCACATAGTGGAAGGTGACTTCATCGAATTCCTCGAGTAGATCCAGTATTAGCTTCCGGTATTCCATCAGTTTTGTATCTTTGGTTTCCCATTCTCCACGGAGCTGATAGATTACTAATGTTGAATCTCCATATATCCGCAAGGTCTTTACATTTTTTCCCAGTGCAGCTCGAATTCCCAAAACACAGGCCTCATACTCTGCCATGTTGTTGGTGCAATCGAAGTTCAGTCTGCTGGTAAATAGGTAGTGACTCCCTTCTGGAGAGATCAGTATTGCCCCGATGCCATGTCCTAGTGCATTTGATGCCCCATCGAAATACATTCTCCAGGAACTATCTGTTGAAGAATTTGCTTCTTCTAAGGATAAAGTCATCAAGTCTTCATCCAAGAAATCTGATATGGCACTTTCTTTGATTGCTTTCTGATTCACGTACTCGATGTCGAATTCAGACAATAGCATCTGTCATTGAGCTAACCTTCCAGATAGAGCGGGTACACCTATCATGTATTTTAGTGGATCTAGCTTGAAAATCAACCAAGTGGTGTGATACAACATGTATTGTCTAAGTCTTTTCGTAGCCCAGACTAAAGCACAACAAACCTTCTCAATAGGAGGATATTTAACCTCGCAATCGGTGAACTTCTTGCTCAGATAGTAGATGGCTCTTTCCTTTCTTCCAGATTTGTCATGTTGACCCAGGACACACCCCATTGAGTTCTCGAATATGGATAGATACAAGAACAGAGGTTTGCCTGGGATGGGGGACATTAAGATTGGAGAATTAGACAGATACTCCTTCACCTTCTCGAATGCAGTCTGACAGTTTTCATCCCATACTCCAGGGCTGTTCTTTCGGAGAAGGTGAAAGATTGGATCACATTTATCGGTTAACTGAGATATGAACCGAGCTATGTAATTCAATCTGCCCAGAAAACCTCGGACCTCTTTTTATGTTCGAGGTGGTGGTAGATTCTGGATAGCCTTAACTTTGTCAGGATCAACCTCAATGCCTCTTCTGCTGACCACGAAGCCTAACTATTTTTCGGATGTTACCCCGAAGGTACACTTGCTAGGGTTCAGTCGTAACTGGAGCTTCCTCAATCTCTGGAAGAGCTTTCTCAAACGCTCGATATTCATTCTCGGTCTGTGCCTTGGCAATCATGTCGTCGATATAAACCTCGATTTCTTTATGCATCATGTCGTGGAACAAGATCACCATAGCTCTCTGATATGTTGCCCCAACATTCTTTAATCCGAAAGGCATCACTTTGTAACAGAAAGTTCCCCACATTGTGACGAAAGTGGTCTTCTCCATGCCTTCAGGGTGCATCTTAATCTGATTGTATCCCGAAAATCTATCCATGAATGAAAAGTAGTTGTTCCCGGCTGTATTATCCACCAGAGTGTCTATGTGTGGCAGAGGAAAGTTATCTTTGGGACTTGGCTTGTTAAGGTCCCGGTAATCGACACACATGCGTACTTTCCCATCCTTCTTCGGCACTGGTACTATGTTGGCCACCCACTCCGGATATTTGGCCACTTGAAGAAAACCGACATCAAATTGTTTCTTAACTTCTTCCTTGATCTTAAGGAGCATTTCTAGTCGCATCCTTTTTAGTTTCTGCTGCACTGGTTTGCATTCTGGTTTGATAGACAGTTTATGGACTACCATATATGTGTCTAATCCTGGCATGTCTTGATACGACCAGGCGAACACCTCTCTGTATTCCCGAAGTAAGACTATCAGGCTGTGTCTTGCTCCAGTCGAAAGAGTTGTGCCGATTTTAACCGCCTTTCGATCTTCTTCAGTACCCAGATTCAAGATTTCGATTGTCTCTTTATGGGGCAGTATTTGTTTATCTTCTCTTTCTATCATTCTCAAAAATTCAGTTGGCAAGTTGCACTCCTCTTCAGTGTCGCATTCATCAAATTCCCCGAGACAAATGGTCGATTCAAAATCCACCTCCGGATCAGGATCATTAGTGCCTACATTATTGTTATCTGGGGATCTGAAAGGAGGAAAAATGTGCATGCGTGAGAGGAAAATCCCCCACACGAAATAGTCAAGAATTAAATTCAAGAGAAAGTGGAAATAAAGTATCAAAATGAAGAAGATAGACGATGAATTCAAAAAGGGAAAAAAAGGAAAATTTGTTTGTCATGAGAAGAGGAAAGAAAAAAAATGCATCTTTTATTGAACCTAAACATAATGTTTATTCACCCTTACAAAAGATCACCTATTGCCCTGGGTATAGACAAATAGGGACGGTTCAAATATTACTCTGAAAGACTCTTGTAAACCGCAGGTAGTTCTTCGACCGACCAACTGCTAGGCACGAACCCAGGTGGCAGAGGGCATATCCCAGATCTATCCTCGTTGTCAGCATTTCCAGTGGTTACGGAATTGATGCTCAAATCCTCCAAAGCCGCTTCTAAATCTGACAAGGTGGTCTCAAATACATAACCACCTGACTGGAATGTGTGGCAAAGAGGCGGGAATGTCATGGGTTCCCATTGAAGTTCACTTCCAGTCAACCTGGCTAGTCTTCTCTCTCGGTTCTTCTGAACTTATTTTCTCTTCTCATGGTAACTGGGATGAAAGCTGAGCCCAAACCGGTCTGCCTTTGAAATAGGAAGGACTGGATCAATCCTCCATTGCAGAAACTTTCCAAACCCTCTTCCAGTCTTATACCTATTATTAATATATATATATATATATATTCTTAATTATTTTTATTTGATTATTTCTTTATTTACGTAATATATCTTATAACTTTATATATATATATATATATATTATTTTTATTATTTTCATTTTTTTATTCATTATTATATTATTTTTTTTAAATCTTGTGTCTTTATCATTATTATTATTAAACATTATATTATATACTACTAACTTAGAGGTCCCATTTTTTTGTTTTATTTCTAACTAAAGTCTCTTCCACTTTCCTCTTTTTGTCTTATTTCTGACTAAAGCCCCCCACTTTCGATGAAGTGAGATGGTAACTTTTCTATTTTTAAATATTTGTTGTATATATATATAGTTTATTTATTATATATATATATATATATATATATATATATATATATTTCCTTTTTCAAATAGTACTATATATAATTATTATTTTACTATTTTTTTCCTTATCTTATTTATTTATTTTATTTATTTTATTTTTTTCTTTTTATTTTTTTCTCTTTATCTTATTTGTTTTCTTTACCTTATTTATCTAACATATTTCTCGATTTTTTGTGATACTCGAAAAATATTTTTATGATTATGTCATAAAAAATTACAAATTCTACCGTATAAATAATACTGTTGTTCCTTTTGATCAGCCTCATTTGGTTTCGGCCCACTTTCCAAAAACCCCAACATTTTGAAGCATCGAAAACGGAAACCTCCCTTAAGCCCCCACACCCTGGCTCCACCCTCTTTTGGCAAACACCGGTGATGGCTTTGTTCGTCCACCGCTCACTCTGCAACAGAACCCTCCATCTCCGCTTACTCTCCTAAGCTGCTCTCGCCCTCGACCAATCATCTTCACCATCACCTTCCTCCCCCTCTCCATTTACCTACCTCGAAGCTTTCCCCAAGACCGACCCCAAATACGCCGAGACTATACTCATCGTCCCACGCCCCATCTCCAGAAAAAAACATCTTCTCCAAAGAAAGAAAAGTGGGTCGAGTCCCCAGCATCGTTTTCGAGAAAGAAGATGGGCAGCATGGAGGCAACAAGAGGCTCATTTCTGTTCAGACCAATCAGATCAGAAAACTGGTAAAGCATCTGGGCGAGTCCTTTTTTCTTTATAGGCTTTTTGATCTTGAGGTTCGATCAGATTTTGGGTCCGGTGAATTGATTGAAAAAGTCCGGGTTCTCCCTAGGAAGGTAAATGTGATTTTTTTCTTCGTTTTAGTTCACTTAAAATTTGATTAATCAGCTGTGTTTTCCGTTGGATTTGAATATTTGTGTCTCTTTGAATTCATGTTTCAGCTTCATTTGCATGCGGGGACTGATGCACCTCTTAATGTAACCTTCATAAGGGCACATTCCAATGCTTTGTTGAAGGTGGATATTCCTCTTGTGTTTAGAGGAGAAGATGTATGCCCTGGACTAAGGAAAGGTAAACTTCCCTTTGGTTAATATAATTTCATTGGGTTAGATACTTGAATCCTATGTGTTTTGTTCATGATTCCATTGCCCAAAAGATCTTCACATGGCGTTCATTGACCTTGAGAAGGCTTATGATAGTGTTCCCCGCGATACGATCTGGAAGACTTTGGAAACGAGACGGATCCCAACTGCTTATATCCGGGTGATTCGTGATATGTACTGTAGATCTACTACTTACGTCAGGACTACAGTTGGCGATACCGAGGCATTCCTGGTGGAAATCGAACTCCACCAGGGGTCGGCTCTTAGCCCTTACATCTTCGCCTTGATTATGGACGACATCTACTGTGCGACACCAGACGGTGTACCATGGTGTATGCTTTTCGCTGACGACATTGTCCTAGTTGCTGAAACAAAATATGAGTTGAATAGTAGACTGGCTACCTGGAAGACTGCTTTGGAAGAAAAAGGTTTAAGGATCAATATTGAAAAGACAGAGTATTTATGTTCAAACTTCAATGGGAACCAAAATGATGAAGATGTAGAAGTATGCATAGAAGGACATGGTCTCCCCTCAAAGGATTGTTTCAAGTACCTAGGGTCTATGATACATAAAGATGGGGGTGTAGATGATGACGTTACACACCGTATAAAGGCGGGATGGCTAAAGTGGAGGGCCGCTACTGGAGTTCTGTGTGACAAGAAGGTGCCTCTAAAACTTAAGGGAAAGTTTTATAGAATAGCAATAAGACCAGCGCTGTTGTATGGATCAGAATGTTGGGCAACCAAGAAGGATCACGTAAGGAGGATTGAGGCCGCATAAATGAGAATGCTTCGATGGACATGTGGTAGGACTCTGTGGGATATGACGACAAACTCTGCGATTAGGATGTCCTTGGGGGTGGTGTCTGTTTCCGAAAAATTGAGGGAGGGAAGACTACGGTGGTTTGGGCATGTCCTTAGGCGACTACCGTCGGATGCGGTCAGGAGGGTAGAGTCGATTACAGTCGACGGTGCTAGAAGGAAAGGACGACCAAGGCGGAAGTGGGAAGACTGCTTGAGATCTGATTTGAGGGATTTAGCCCTTACCGAAGACATGACCTCTGATAGGAAAATATGGAGGCTAAAGACTAGGGTAGTCGAGTAGTGTGGGTCACATTTATAGGGTGTATCATCTCTGTCTTCTTTTAATGTCTTTGTAGTATTTTCCATGACTTCTACTTTTTATACGTTTCTGTTATTGGTATTTATGAAGGATTAGAACTGGGCTTGCTATCGTTGACTTCTGTGTATCATTCTCCTCATGTTTCCTCTTTTAAATTTAGCCGGGTCTTATGTTTCTGTCTATATGCAGAGATTCTTTCGCAGGGATTATTATGCAGGGATTAATTCCCGTTACAGACGCACATATGATTTTAATGACTGCATATGAATATTGTTTAGCTATGTATTTATGTATTTATTTATATATGCATTGAATTTTATCTATATTTTTAATTTTCTGACTACCGGAGGTCTTCCACGGAAGCTACTCTCAACCTGGCGTTGGGGGCAGCCTACTACCCTATCTCCCCCTTACCCCATACATATGAGAATTGGGTTTTGTTGTTGTTGTTGTTTAGTTTCGACTCTGCTGACCAAATTTTACTTAAATTGCTGAAAATTTGGGTTTAAGTGTTTGCAAAATGTGAACTGTGAGTGGAGAGATCGAAGAGCTTACGCAATAGCTTTTTCATATTATATCTGGCTTTTGTTGACCCTTTATGATAATGTATAGGGATATCGTTGCACTCCCCCCTAGTACTCGGTGCTCACACTATTGTAGTTAGTAGTTTTAGATGGAACTGAACAAGTTACAATACTACTGGGTATGGTTTCATATGAAGCATATTGTAGGTCGGATGTTTCCTTTATATATTCAATTACATTGAGCTTATTATAATAACTGTTATCATGTGTCCTTGAGTAAGTTTTATTATTTGTTTCAAAACCTTGTTGTACATTTGCTCTAGGGTGAGTTCGGGGTCGGTCTCCTGGTTAACCGATCATATCCCTGTAACTGCTTCAGAAGTTATTAATGGAGTCTTTAATATGTTTCACATGCTTACTTTGTCCATATGAATCTTGATTATTTTATTCCCTTGTTGTAATAAAGAATATTCTCGTTTATGCATATGTATTAATCAATTGACAAGGTTGTACTTGAATACTATCAAGAGGACCGTTAAGTTCCTGTGTCCAGCGGATATATACCTCCATATATTGATGTTGATTTAAGTGAGTTGGATGGCGATTAGAAGATGGTAATGGGAGACCTCAAGATTCATCATACTCTAAAGCTTATTCAGTCAAAAGATGAGCCTATTTGTAAGATTATGGGAGCTAGAGTTTCCGACCAACAGAAGAAGAAATAAGGCCATGGGGCATCGAATGAGCTTAAAATCGATGCTCTCATTCTTATCATTGTTCATACTCTTTGTAGTTTTTCTAATACTAGGGTAGGACCAAGCATGGAGTGGTGGTGGAGTGTCTTATTTATTTCCTCACTTGGGGATTAAAATTCTGCAAGAAAGTGAAATCCTTTTGCTCTATATTCCCTTTGAATTTGCTATTTCCATTCCATTGACTCATATAAACTCTTCCAATTAAACTTGAGGATCACTTAATAAGGTAGTTAGGATCACTATCATGGCCTCATGAGTTGATTCAAGTGGTAAGTAGCTTGATATTGATTAAACAAGGTCTCAAGTTGGTTTGGATTAGTCAATTGATCTACTACGTATTAACGAGACGGTGCTCATGGTTAATCTTGACTTTATTGTAATACCCAGAACATCGTGTTAGTGACTAAAGTGTAAGAATTTAAAATTTGGTGGTTTAATTTGAATAAATTAAAAAATTCAAGAACTAATTTTGGGAATTTTTGTCTATGACTTATTATCAAAGATTGAAGAGTGGAATGACATTATGGTTTTTTAGTAGGAAATGAATTTAAAATTCATTTTTAAAGGATATTAAAGCAGGTGAGAAATAAAGAAAGGAAAAGTCTGAAAAATTGGGGTTATTTTCTCTTTTTCTCTTATTCCACCGTAAACCTCCATTGTGAAGGTGAGTTACTTTCAAGTTGGTTTTGTCTTTAATTTGTTGGTTGGTTTTGAAGTTTTGAGTGGTATAGAATATTAAGAAAGCCTCAAGATGAAGAGAAACTAAGTGATTAATGAATTAATGGTGAATTAGTAAAATGAGTTTTTAAGTTAATGGATAAAATTTGGTTAGTAATTAGATTCTAAAGGCATATTTGACTTGTCAAATGTCTAATTAAGGTATTTGAAGTATTAGAAATGATTGATAATATGTTTGAATATTTTGGTATTTGAAGTGTTCCATAGAGAAATTTGGATGTTAAAAGGTAATTAATGGATATAAGTTGGTTGTGATAAATGTTAGTAAGTTTAAGGGTTTGATTGGAGCTAAAAATATGAGATTTAGGTGAATTGTGGGTAAAATTCGAAGTGACATAGGTAAATTCTGAGCAAGGGTATCGGTATTGGAAGAACAATACCGATACTATAAGGTTAAACTGAAGGAAATAATATGAATCGGATGAACAATATTGATACTGATTGAAGTCGTATCGATACTGATAAGGAGGTATCGATACCAAGGGTAAGATATCAACACTATAATGGAAGATGAAATTCCAGAATGCCAAAATGGTATCGATACTGAAAAGGGTATCGGTACCATAGAAGTGAAGCATCGATACTGTAGGAGGGGTATCGATACTATTCAGTCTGAAATTTAAATTTGGAGTTTTCATTCCGTTTTTGTAAGTGTTAATTGGTTACCCGTTAGTGGAAATTCGGTATTGATATTGGACATGTCTATGTGTAGATTTGGATCAAAAGAGTACCGGACAAATCGACGTAGTAAGAGATTGAAAGAAAGTAAAAAGGATTTTGTTTAGGATTTACGTTAGACAAATGTGAGTGCAATTTATTTATGTTATATAAGATAAGATGACAGTTTGCGATAAGCCAACCTCGAATGTTTTCAATCGAAAATAGTTTTATTTATTTTATGTAATATTTTTATAATATTTTATAAATTGTTATTTTAAATATTGTTTTAATGGTATTAGTATGTGAATATGTTATATGTGAATGTGTTCTACGTGGAAAGTGTTCTATGAAAATGTGTGCCATGTGGATAAAAGATACCTTGAATAAGGAAATGAAAAATACTTAAATGGTTTAAGCCCAAAGTATATGTATGAAAATTAAAGGTATAGTTGGCATGCCAAGAGTCGAGGTTCTATGCGGTAATTCGGGACAAATCTATGTGGCATATCGGTGCATATTCTACGTGGCACTTCGGTGCAAATTTTATGCGCAGTAGTGACTGCAATTATAGTGCACAACCTCAATGTACTCACATACCTTGAGTTCTCAGTGATATGCATTGGGCTAATAAAACAAATTGATATAAATTAAGCAATGTGTAACAGTATACATGATTTTCATGAAGTGTGACTTGTTTTATGTATGCAAGTGTTTTTAAATGTGTTATTATGCTCCTTATTGCCTCACTAAGTCAAAGACTTAGCGTGTGATTGTTTCACACGTAGGTTCAAAGAGATCTGAGGATTAAAGCTAAGAAAGGACATCATATGCTTGAAGAAGATCAGATCAGAACAATTAGAAATGTAGGTTTCTTGTTATTTTGAAATTTTATTGGTATGTATCATAAAGTTTTAAATTGTAATGCTCTGATCCATTTTGTAATTATACTATTTTAAGTTTATAAAAATATATTAAGTATTTATTTTCATTGTGATTATTATTTTTTCAATGTAAATGTTTGTATAAGAGTTCACCATTAAAATATAAATAAAAGTTTAAATTTTTAACGAATTTTTAAAAAGGCAAAGTTTTAAAAATTCAATGTGACACCTCATATTCGTATCTGGGTCAGGTACGGGTTAGGGGTGTTACATTTATTGGTATCAGAGCTATGGTTTAACTGATTTTAAGTTTGAAATGAATCAATTTGTGTTTTAAAAAGTGTACATGCGAATGAAATGTTAAAAATGTTTGATCTGATTGGGTATTAGTATGTTGTCCTTGCTAATAGAGTTAGTGATTATATCTTAATAGATGTCAGACTATGAGGGCTCCCAAAGTGGAGCAGGAGATGAACATGAGGGAGTAGTAATTCACCTGCCCTAGTTAGGCAAGGTAAAAAGCATACGCCTCAAGGAATGTCTGTGCAAGATCAGGGAGTCTTTTTCAGGACGTCAGACGTGATTCTGACGCATTTCCAATCTTCTGCTCCCCCAGCTCCTAAGATGAATGTGGAAAAGGAGTTAAAGAGTTTAGGAGCACCTGAGTTTAGAGGAAAAGCTGAGGAAGGTCCCGTTTCTGCGGATCTTTAGCTTAACGATATAAAGATGATGCTTGAGGGTCTTTATTGTTCTGAAATGGAGAAGTTGGATGAAGTAGTCTCATTGTTATGAGGTCAAACACGTATATGGTGGACTAATGTGATGATGAGAGCTCCTAGGGACCAAGTAACATGGTCGTTCTTTCTATAAGAGTTCAAGAACAAGTATATCGGTGAGCAACTCATTAGACAAATGAAACAAGAATTCATGAATTTGAAGCAATAGAATCGCACTATGTATGAGTATAAGTGCAAGTTTAATAAGTTGAGCAGATTTGTAGATGAATTGGTCCATACGGGAAAAGACTCATGTGATTGGTTCGTGGAGGGGTTGCGCCCCAGATTGTAGGAACTGTTGATAACGCTAATTTTTTCTACATTCCAAGATGTTGTAAATCGAGCTAAAGCCTTAGAACGAGCTCAGAATAAAAGATATAGGGAGCATAAGACCCATTTGACCAAGAGAGTGGGTGCCTCGTCGAGTGCATCGCAATCGAAGAAAAACCAAGGTTTGGGTTTTTAACCTAAGTCTTCATCCTCATGTAGAGGGTCAAACTCAGTGAGAGTTAAGCAGACTCAATCTACTGAATCAAGAGCTGGAAGACCAAGTCAATGTCAGCATTATGGAAAAAATAATAGTGGCATATGTCAAATGGTCTCCGGAGCATTTTCAGATGTAAAAACACGAGACATTTTATCCGGGATTGCCCATTGATGACTGAAGAGCCTGTACAGTTTGAGAGATCCGCTATTGTACCTCAAAGAGGTAAAGGACGAGGTAGAGGAAGAAATCAATCTGAGTCAGCCACTCAACCTGAAATACACTCGACTGCTAGGGTCTACAACCTTAAGACTAATGAAGATCGTGATGATCCGAAGATTATTACAGGTACTTTCCAGTTAGCTTATAAACTTGTTTTGGTTTTGATTGACTCGAGATCAACTTAGTCTTATATTAGTAGTAAATTGGTGAGAGAATTGAAAATCCAATTAGAAGCTATAAGTAATGATGTGATCGTGACTAACCCGTTAGGGCATAGTACTCGGGTAAATCAATTGTGTCGAGGGTGTCCCATTAGAATTCAGGGAATTGAATTCCCTACTAATCTGATGGAATTACCCTTTGACGAGTACAAATTTATTTTTGGGAATGGATTGGTTGTACTGTTACCATGCCAATGTCGACTGTCGATTGAAAATGGTAGTTTGGAAAAGTTATGATGGATTAGAAGTAATTATGGTTAGTAAGAAAATTAATACATTAGCTAATGTGATATCGGTAATGTCGACTAAGAAGTTGATGTTGCAAGGATACCAAGCTTTCAATTCCAATGTGAAAGATAGTCGAGCCAACAAGAAGAATTTGGAGGATATCCCGACAGTCTGAGAATTTCTAGACGTATTTCTAGCTGAGCTACCGGGATTATCTCCAGATAGAGAGGTTGAGTTTCAAATTGAGGTTATACCGAAAATAACACCAATTTCGATGGCTTTTTATAGAATAGTCCCAAAGGAACTGAGTAAGTTAAAGGCTCAGTTGCAAGAGCTATTGGATAAGGGATTCATCAGACCTAGTGTGTCACATTGGGGTGTACCAGTGCTATTTGTAAAGAAGAAAGATGGTTCGATGCATCTATGCATTGATTATCGATAGCTCAACAAGGTGACAATAAAGAATAAATATCCTCTCCCAAGAATCGATGATTTATTTGATCAAATCAAGGGAACTTCAATGTTTTCTAAAACTGATTTGCACTCTGGCTATCATCAGTTGAAGATACAAGAAAAAGATATTCCAAAAATGGCTTTTAGGACTCGGTATGGCCATTATGAGTTCGTAGTAATGTCGTTTGGGTTAACTAATGCACCTGCAGCTTTTATAGATCTCATGAACAGAGTATTTCAAACATATCTCGATCAATTTGTTGTTGCCATCATTGATGACATCTTGGTGTATT